GGGGGGCGGGGTTTAATAAGAATATTTTCTTCTTCCTTCTCCTTTTCACTCATGGTTGCCGTGTTAAATAAAGGGAAAGCCTGGTTTGTGTGTATGAAAGGATGAAACTGTTGAACCAAGTGTGAAATAAATAAAAAATGAAATGAAATTTTGCAGCTCAAGCTGATCTTTTTCTGCAGCTAGTTTCCTGCATGACCTTATCGGGTCATTCGGGTAGACCTGCAACTTTAACATCATTTGTTCTTTCTTATCTGCAGGTCCATCAAGCTGCTCTAACTGAGGGGTTTTGAAGCATTTAGCCGTGTAGTGGAGTATCTTTTGAGAATCATTTCCCCAACAATAGATCAGGTTTGACCACATTTCATCATGCTTGTGGTCAAAAGCCCGTTCTTTCCCTAACTGAAAGTGGGTAAATAAGCGAGAGAAAGGGCCCATTGTTGTGTAAAGGGCTGGATAGTGGCAGGCTGGATGATGTGTTTCTTTGCTTAGTGTCGTAAAGGGAAACACATGTGTGCTTGTAGCATTGTTAATAAGCTGTAGTGCAGAATACCCCAGTGGCCAGATGTTATGGACAAATGTCAAACAAACGCTCTTACTCCACTCTTGGATTTGGCCCAAAGCAGGAAAAAAAAACTTTAAGAGTGTCGCTGTGGAGAAAGCAGAGCCCCAATTACTCGCAACGAATGCTTTGCAGGGCTGTCTTAAGAATCCCCACAAGGACACATTTACTGATTTACGGCATCTAAATGTGAAATCAAAACATGGAAAATGCCAGCTGTAAAGCTGCTAGGTTTAGCTTTTTTGGGGAGGGGGAGTTAAATCACTTGTGATTTGATTTTTCAGCAAAGCCAGAATCTTAAAAGATACAAGCCACAGATAAAATAATCTGTTCACTTACTGCTCTGAATGAACTCTGAGGGAATAATCTGAGAGTCGAGTAGATGGGATGATACTGCTGCTGAACAATGTTTCCACCCACAAACTGACCACAGTATCAGAACTCAGACAGAGGGACAAACAGACTGAGAGGGTCGCAGTGATGTTGGAAAATAAAAATAAATCTTGGATGACTTTGTCCTTGCCTGCAAATTGATTACCGACACTTGACTTCAGTCGTTCAGAGGGCCCACAGCAACACTGCCAGGGTTTTATGCCTCTTGGCA